CAATTATATGCACGTCATTAAGAAATTTTACACTGAGAAAGTTGACTCTAATCCTTTTGATCTGGAGCTTCTTCCCTGTTCCTGACTAGAAGCTATAATTTTATTCTTCGAATGTCAGATTTTTATGTGTCATTGACAGCCAAAATGTTTGCTCTTTTGGTGAATAATCATCAACGAACTTTATATATTAGTTTCGGAAGTGTTGAAGCATAGCCTTACTTCTCAACCGTATTAGCACATCAGATTCAATAAATTATCACCGTTTTGGCATTTCTGGAATCATAATTTTTATCGCGAGATGATTCCTAATTCTTTTGTCATTGAAACCTTTTTTTGCAATACCATGCTTCCTCGCTTTCGCGCCTTATGTCCAGGAAACAATTGACATCAGTTCCATCTCTGTCAATCTCAAAAGTGGCATATTGTCATCTCACAAATAACGATAATTATTGATAATGTGAGCCACTATAGCTTGGACTTCGATTATATTTAAGACTTGAAAATTGTAGCAGTGATGATAATGAAGAAAATTGATCATTTTTGGATTTTTCCAATCTGACAGCCAGGACACATTTATTTGTCGTTATCTTAATTCGCTTCAAGTTGAAGGATTTTGATATGGCTATAAAAACCTTTTTGAGATTTGGAAATCTCTTCTGCTAAGAAGATTTGAGAGTTCATTTTCATTGCATGAACAGCTTCAACAATTAAGGTTGCGAAATCTTTCAAACAGGTTCATTGATTGTACATATCGTTATAACTGAGCAAATTCCCAAATAAGGCGGCGGAATAGTCAGAGAATGAAATAAGAATGTAATTTTTAACATGTACCAACCGATGTCCCGGTTCCTCAGTCATCCTTTGTGAATACATCCTGGAGCCAATAAATAAATTCGCAAATACCATGAGGTGTTCTTTGGAACTTTCTGCTTCCGCCTTAATGCTGTTTGCAAGAAACGTGAGGAGGAAGTTTGCAAATACTGATGTACCATGAAAAATTAAGGAAGTGATGAACAGAACATTTGGGCAAGCCAGGATCATCTTATTTCAAAGACCCATTTATACA